TGAGTAATTGGCATTATTTTGTTCGATTCCATCCAAAACTCAATCCTATTCTTTAGCAATCTTTCATATGTTTTTAATCTGCAAGAAGCAAGAGCAATTGGTCGATATGATTTGGATTGGTGTTTAGGTTTACCAGGTTTCAATATTGGTACTAAGATATATTCCTTCCAGTCTGAAGGAATTGGGTGGTCTCCTTTTAATATTTTATTGAATATGTCGAGAAGGATTTTTTTTGGCAATACGGGAAGATTCGATATCATGGAGTATTGTATATTGTCTTTTCCTGGGGCAGTGTTATTGTTTACTTTCACAGCTTTATTCAGTTCCTCCATTTTGAAAGGGTTACATAATTAATGATTATCTATTTCTGAATTTTCGTTCGGTATTGGATATTTATTCGTCACAAAGTGGGGAGTTAGTCGAATGTGAAAATCTTCTATCCAGGGATCTTCTAAGCTTATAGGAGTTTGGTTTTCCTTTTTCCGATGATTAAAACTATTAACTTTTTTCCAGACCTCCTTCATTGGAATATTACTATTTAAGGAAGAGCAGTAATTTTGCCAATTTTTTCTTTTTTCTTCTTTAATAACTCTTTTTGCCATTGCATCAGCTTTTTTGTAATTTATTAGATTATCGAGATTAGGATTACATTTATAAATACAAAATTTTTCTTTCCTCATAGCTGTTAATTCGTCGCATTTTTTATTCCACCAAAACTTACCTTTGCATAATTTATTGTTATCAAATTTGGGAATACTATTTTCAAGAACAGTATTTAATATTTCTATAAAATCATTATATTCAATATTATCTTGAGAAGTAAATTTATCCATGCATTCCATATAAAATATATCCCAATTGGCTTTTTTTGTATTCCATTTTTTTGAATTCTTGCTTATGATATGTTTTGGTGAGATATTACATGTTATTTTTATCGGTGTATGGTCCGAACCGTAAGTGTCGTCCATGGTGCTCCATTCTGTGAATGGCTGGAAACATGGGGATGCTAGGGTCAAGTCTATAGCCGAGCTTACACCCCTCGTTGGGCCAAATCGCGTATGTGAACCATCGTTCAAAAAGGTTATATTACTTGAATCAATTGCATCCAGCAAGGTTTTACCGTGAATATTATTGTCCAAACATCCCCATGCCAGATGATGAGCGTTAAAATCTCCACCAACTAAAAACGGTCTGTTAATAAATTTAAAAAACGATAACCATGTCTGGACGTTTATTTTTGTTTGAGGTTTTATATAAACTGTCAAAAGATTTAAATCTGGGTTGTTTTTAATTTTTATTTTAACACCTACGTAAAATATATTATTAAATACAGGGCCCATAATCTCAGTAAATTTTATGTTCGACTTAATCAAAATAGCAACTCCTCCCTTACCATCCTGGCGATCTTTTCGAACTACATTATATCCGGAAAAGGGGACATACTTGTCTGGCTTAAACCAAGTCTCAGACAAAAGGGCAACGTGAATATTATTTCGGGCTAAAATGAATTCTAAATTATTTTTATTTGCAATTGCCGATCGGCAATTCCATTGGCACACATTTAATTGGTTCATTGCAAATTTAAAAAAAAAATTAATTTTAACTCTTATTATAAATCAGTTTAATTCTTAGCCCTACAATAAGTATTAAATCCCTTCATATTTACTAATTTCTAAGATATAAAAAAAAAAAAAAAAAAACTTTATTGATAATTTTCTCTTAACTTTATGTTTATTATATTAGCCAGTTCTAATTTATTTATATTGTATAACTGATTTTCTTTTAATGAATCTATAATAGAAATAACTATCTCTACTATGGTATTCACATTGTTCAAGCCTATATGACTCTGACCTGCTTCAGAAGTCGTGTTCTGATGAACTACACCGGATTGATATATTGGGTCATTTAAAATAGAGCCTGAACTCTGAGAAAAATTGAAGGTAGATAATATTTGATTATGTTCTGCCAAAATTGGATTGGGAGAACTTTGTCGAACTCTTTTGGGTGCTACTTTATGTTGAGTAAAATAGTTAGATTTTTGTTGATTAGAAGAATTTCTGACCGCATTATAGTTATTTGGAATTATTTTATCCAGTTTACTCAAGTCTACATTAGTGTTGGTGTTTTTGGATACTGCATTAGCGTAACTTTCCTTTGGAAAGTTTTTATGCGCGTCCATATATGACAGATTCTGTTCTGCCATGGCTTTTTTTATTTGTTTTTGTCTCGAGAACTCAGAACACATTTTAATTTGATTTGTATAATGCTTTTTCTCGCAATAAAAACAATTAATTTCTTTTTCTTCCTCACATCTATCAAGAGTATGATCCCCTTTACATTTCAGACATCTTGTTTTGCTTTTACATTGTTTACTTGAATGGCCGTATCTGAAACAATTGTAGCATAGAATTACTTTTTGTATAAATGGCGATACCTGCAACCTAATTCAAAACATTTCTGTAAATTTCAAATTCAACTTGTGCATTATTAATATTATTAGGTATACATTGCTAATTAACAATTTTCTTATTATTCTTTGACAATTAATTAGCTTTGGTAACATTTTAATCGGGTGTGTTACCATGTCATGCTACCTGTTACATCTGAGTGAATTGTTAGCAAAGAAAATTAAGCACAGTAGTGTTCCTACCTACTTGTTTCCATAAGGTCAGGGCTAACGTTACTTCAGTAATGTAAATTGCAGCAAGCCAGAATACTTGATATAACCCAAAGGCGAAGAGCAACTTTAACTGAAACTACCTATATAAATTGGGTATACGAGATCTAAGCGTATTAATAGACCTATCTATTTTACCAGACAAAGAGGTAATAATACGAAAACTTCATTAAATAAAAAAAGACACAGAACCCTCATTGCGCAAGACGAGGCAAAACGTACCAAATTATGTTAGACTTACGTATAGCAATCCGTCCTTCTTATTTGCACAGGATAAAAAGGAAAGGAGAAAAACCGCGTGTTGTGCAACGAATTTGTCAATGAAAATGTCAAACAACTTTTGAATGACACTTGTCAAGTTGAATATCAACTTCAGATTTATTCTTGTCAGACCACGTGCAATGAACAAGGATAAAGATATGCCCAGCGTGCAAAACGATCACCTTACACCTGTATTAGCTGGCCAATAAAAAGACATTGCCTCGTGTTGCGCGCGCATACCAGGTAAAAATAGATGGGTCTATTATTAAGCTTCGATTGCATGGGGTCCTAGAATCGGGAAAAAACAAAATTGTAGTCGAGAAATAAAATTTTACTAAGATTCCCTAAATTTATTTTGTTGTAAAAAATTATTATTAAATAAATATGAAAAAATAAAAAATATGTATTAATTCTAGATTCTGTTAAAATTTATACAATAATTCTAAATACGCAATACCTATATTATAATAGTAGATTATACCACGAGTCAATAATGATAGCTATTATTCCCGAGGAATATTTACGAACTGAGTCGCGTTAGCGGCGAGGGAGTAACATTAAGAGGGAATAATAGCCATTATTGCTCTACTTTATTTACGACAAATTAATTTATTTGAGATTTTCAATGAACAAATTTCATCTATCTCAATTCTCAATACAAATCCACAAGCACTATACACGTTTGACACTGACACTTTTGAGGAATAATGAGCATTAATCCCGCTACTCGTCATTATTCCCTGGGGGAATAACATATGTCATTATACTGCCAAAATCACAAGTATAATACTTACATTATACATTAGTCGTGAATAAAATAAAATAATTACCTACTTACAGCTTTTTCCACAGTTACATGTTAATTCTATAAATGGTCTGGTAGGTATAGAGGTACGTATAGAAAATGAATTCTCCTTCCTCCCCTCCCTCAAATATTGAATTAGATAGACAAGCAAAACAAGTCAGAATAATGTAAATTTTTATCAAATTATCCCACTGCCACTGGCAAAATGTAAATTTTAGCACCAAGATAGATCTAAGATTTAAATTGGTATGTCATAAGTTGTGCAATTTCCCCACAAATTGTTAATTGAAAATCTTCCTATTTCACTAAATCATAATCAAAATCAAATTGCAATAATTTACATCAACACACGTTACTTTTATATTTTCTCTGTGACTCAAACAAATCAAAGTTATCTAATTATTAGATCAAAATCATCAAAATTCGATTTGAAATTATTATGTATTTGCTTTCATAATCGGTATAGCATTTATTTAATGCAGCAATTAAACTTTACTTCTATAGATTGTCCCACCCTAACCTAGACCTTAACCCAGAAAATGAAAACTGGTCCATGATGTATGGGATCTTCTCAGATAAAGAATTCTTAGATATATTTTGGAAAAAAAAAATGAAAAATTGGTAGGATTAGTTTAGAATATCAGAATTGAACGGAATTCTATTTTTCAAAACGCCCTTGAGTCTCCCTTTATAGTCAAACCCATAGGTTCGGCCTTGAGTAGGTATTTAAAATTTTGTAATAAGAATACCTAAACCTGTAACAAAATTTCAAATGCCAATTTCATTTTACCGTACAAATTTGAGTAATGATCAAGTGCCACCTATGAATAGACTATAGGTCTTAAGTCTCCTTCAAACAGTCGAGTAAATAATTTGAAGAAGAAATAAAAATGTATCAGAAAAAATAAATGATAGTAGAAGCCATACGTTCAGGAAAAAAGTTGAAATTCAATTAATCGAAAAAGATCTACAAGTTAAACTATGTTTGATATTTAAAAAAATATATTTTTGGTCGAACGACCCACGATATAAGTCGTTCACGTGCGTGCCTTCTTACATAATTTCTTCGGCAATTCATTTCACCTGGGGTCACCTGTAACGAGATCATTATAATACGCTCTGGCAGAAAGGGAAAGTAATACACTCGGCACATGTATGAGAAAGACAAAAATCTTAATTTTACTGCTATGGACCCCCCGAAATAATACCTACACCAACGGTCAAGATGGTATTGTTTCGTCTCAAAAACCTGATCAGCCCCCAAATCGATCACTATAAAAATGGGCGAAATTTTCGTTATGGCATCAGTTCAATCAAAGCTTATCTCAGGTTTACTCTACTTGATTCAAATACAATATGGCTTTCAGAGTAAGTTAGATTATATACCTACGCAGTTGGTAGTTTTTATTTATTTCTACATAAAGTTTTCTTCACATCGGAAAAGTTTCATCGTTAATATTTTTTGTACATATAGTCAATGTTTTTAAATACCGTATGTTTATCAACATTTTATTCGTTCACTTAGTTTTTCTTAAATACTCATATTTTTCAATATATTTTTTGCTTTGCCTTTTGCTGCATCACTTCAGTTTGGGATTGTCCTTTTCTTCCAGAGGGTGATATTCACTGGCAAAATATTTCGCATAAGAACCAATTGGAATGAATATTTCATATTTTTATAATCAAACTCTGTGGAAGTCCAAATAGAAAATATCAGAACAACAAGAGTTCATCAATAATTCATTTTCAATTTATTTTTTTGTTTCCAAATTTTAAATTTGCTTTTCAAGCAGCTAAGAAATAGGAATAAAAGTTGCACTTTTCAGTTTCCAGTAGGTATATTGTTAGATTAAATCAACATTGTTGCTCTCATAACGTGCATTTGTCAATTTTTTCTCATCACAAAGACTGATAATTCCGGGAGAGGATTGATGTCTATAGTTATTTGTTCTAATAATTTGTTAAGCACTTACTAGACTTTGCTGAAAATATTGTTGGTCATTTATGTACCTACTTGCTAACTTGTTTTTTTATTAATAGTTGCTCCAATCAATTAGTTTAACATATTTGTTTTTTACTTTTCAGTTCCTTGTCCTTGCTCTTACCCTCGCCTATGCTAACGCAGGCCAACTACTCACTCAACCCGAAGCTGTACACTATTCCTCAGCTCCTGCAGTCAGCAGCTCCTACTTTCAACAAGCTTCAGCTCCAGTTGCCTACGCTAAGGCCTATGCTGCTCCTGCTGTTACCGGTAAGAATCGAGCTGAATATTCTAAAACAAAACAATAACCCATTCTTTGTAGCTTACCATTCCGCTCCAGCCGTAGCAGTCCACTCTAGTCCAGTTGCTGTACACGCTCCCTCAGTAGGAGTCTCACAACAATCCGTAGCTAGATCTCTTGGTGGTGCCCAATCCGTTTCTACTTATTCTAAAGCCGTAGACAGTGCATTCTCTAGCGTACGTAAATACGATACTAGAATCACCAATGATGCTTTGTCTTATGCTCCAGCTCAGGTAAAATGTATAGAACTTCCAATTAGCTAAATAATAATTGTTCTAATTTCAGGTCGCTTACTCTGCTCCCCTTGTTACCAAGGCCTACGCAGCTCCAGTCGCATACTCCTCACCTGCTCACTTATCCTATGCTGCACCTGCTCAAGTATCTTACTCTGCACCCACTCAAGTATCGTACTCCGCACCTACTCAAGTAGCTTACGCTTCTCATGCCCCAGTGGCTTACGCCGCACCTGCTCAACTAGCCTACACAGCTCATGCTCCAGTAGTAGCTAAGGCCTACTCCCCAGCTCTATCGTACGCTGCCCAAGCTCCACTTGTAGCCAAGACTTATGCCGCTCCAGCTACTTACTCTTACGCCGCTCCAGTTGTAGCTAAGGCTACCTATGCCGCTGCTGGCCCAGTAGCTCATTATGCTCCAGGTCCAGTAGTAACTAAAGCTGCTGTAGCTTACTCGCCAGCCGGTGTTGTAGCTCACACCAATTTCCAAGGTTATGGAATTGAATATCACTACTGAGAAGTATTGTTTGATTTATAGACTGCAATTGAATGTATATAATACTTATGTTTAATAAATTATTATTTTTTGATTATATTGTGTGAATTTCGTTTTCCTTTTTAGACATTTTATTGCAAAGTAGGTACCAAAAAGATAATAAACACATTTATATGTAGAATAGGTAGGTACCCAAAATTAAATTATTAATTATTCAAGCTTCATCCAGTTGAATGAAATTATAGCAAATAACTTGATAAAAGTAGTTGTCACATTTCTTCTGAGCTGGCTAATTAAAAATTCTCCCGTCTCACCTTTTAAATTGGTTAACTTATTCAAAGATGATATGTCATAAAATTATGGTTATGCCCACTTCCTAGGGTAATTTGAATCATTGCCTTTTCAGCAAAGGTTTATTTCTTGTCGGTAAGTTCTTCGTTAGATCTTGATGCATGCGCAGCATTAGCATCGGCTCGTTTGGGAAGGGAGGGGGGGGGGCATTTGCCCCCCCCCTAGAAATAGTGGAATGGTGGAAACTAAAAAAGAAGAGATAATTTCTTCGGTTATAGAAGTTTTTGGTTCCGAAAGACGAAATTTACGTGTCATGTTCTCTAGGTCATCATAGTCCTGTGCAATTAATACTTGATCATCTGCAAAGCTTAAAGTATAAAGATTGTATTCATTGAGCGGTATTCCCATGTGTCTACATTTGTTTTTTCACACTTTGAGCGCTTGTTCTAAGTATATTTTAAAAAGTGTTGGTGCTATGCAGCATCCCTGTTTAAGTCCTTTAGTTGCTATAAAGCCATTACTGATTAAGTTTCCCTGTTTAATCTTGGTCTTTGCATCAGTATGGAGCGTTTTTACTGCCTTTATTAGTTCTAAGTTGATATTGGTCTTTTCCAGTGCTTTCCAAAGCTTTTTCAGCGGAACATTGTCGTATTCTTTCTTTAGATCGACGAAAAGTAAATGGAGTTCTTGGTTATAGGCTAGTTTCTTTTCGATTACCTGGGTCAAACTGAATAAATGGTCTACAGTTGATCTTCCTGCTCTAAAACCGGCCTGTTCTTCTGCCTCACTATCTTTGTACTCGTTCTCTATTCTGGCTTTTATAAGTTTTCCATAAACTCTGCTCAGCATATTTCTTACTGCAATTTCTCGGTGGTTCTCGCATTTGTTTCTGTCTCCTTTCTTATATATCGTTGTTAAATAGCTAATTTTCCACTCTTCCGGTACTTTATGTTTATCTATGCATGTTTGAAATAGTTTTGTTAAATGTTTGTAGAGTTTATTGGTCCCACACTTTATCAGTTCTCCATATATTTCTCCTGGGCCTGGTGCCCTACCATTTTTCAAGAAGCCGCAGTATTTTTTAACTTCTTCTTGCATAACTCGTATTGGTGATTCTGCAGTTTTTTTGTTTCGTGTCTGTTCCTTTTCTTCTTTAAACTCTGCCCGCTGTTCTGTCAATAATTCTTCAAAGTACTCTTCCCACTGCTGGGGTCTTATTGTATTGATAATATCCTTAGTTTGTGTTTTCCTCATGTTTTTGAGTAATCTCCAACTTTCTGTGTTTCTTTTACCCCCCAGATAAGTATTAATATGCGCACAGTTTCTTTCCCATAACTCGTTCTTTTTGTTCACTATTTTATTCCGTATTCTTGATTGTGCTTCTTTATATATTTCTTTGTCTCGTGTCTTATTTGAAGTTAGATACTGTTGGTATTTCTTCCTTTTATCTTCTATGTCTTTCTCTATTTCTTGGTCCCACCAATAAGGTGTGGGTCTACTTCCACTTTTTTCATTGCCAAGGGCTTCAAATGCTGCACTGTGAATACTCTCTTTGAAATGCATTTCAAGGTTTTGGAAGTTCATACTACTTTGTAATTTTTGATCTAATCTCTTCATGTACAACCCTTTTACGCTTTGCTCTTCTAGAGATTTTATGTTGTATTTCTCAGACACAATATTGTCTTCTTTGTTTTTCATTCCGTTTTCTTTTGCGGTGTTTCTGCCCGGGACAAAAATCTTTGTTTTTAGGAGGTAATGATCGCTACCACAGGTCGCTCCCCTATATGCTCTCACATCCTGGAATTTTATGTTCGAGCTCTGTTTTGCGATAGTGTAGTCAATAATAGATTTTTGTTGTCTAGTTTCATTTTTCCATGTGTACCTATGTATTTCTTTATGCTGAAAGTAACCGTTTAGGATTTTTAGGTTATTTTGTTGGCATATTTCTATTAGCCTTTCTCCATTGTTATTCGTTACATTCTCTCCGAATTTTCCGACCACCTTGTCGTTGTTTTTTCTTCCTATTCGTCCGTTAAAGTCTCCCAGCAATATTATTTCCCTTGAAGTTCCTACTTTTATGATTTGGTCACTGAGTTGTTGATAAAATGGATCCTTTATATTAACGGGTTCGTCATCGTGCACTCCATATATTCCCAAGATTGTTATTTTCTTCCCGAACATACATACATTCAGTTTTATTATGGTTTCGTTTACTGCTTCCCATGATGTTATATGTTTTCTCCATTTTCTGTGTATGAAGATCGAGACTCCTTTCTTCGTTCTGAGTTCTTTTTCAACCCCGCTAAAGAAATGATCGTACTGTCCCAGATTTTCTGAGCCCTGTCCTTTCTTTTTGGTCTCTGTGGCGACAAGCAGGTCCGTTTTTTGATATTTTATCTCTGATATCACTTCATTCAATTTTCTAGAGATTCCTTGGACGTTCCATGTACCGATACTCACTGTCCGTTTCCGTTGCCTAGTTCGTCTTCATTCCGAGGCTGTTGATTGGGTCTTTTAACAGTCTAATTTTTTTTTCGAGTAACGGGGAGTTAGCCCGATGCCTCAACCCCCTACCAGGAGGACCAGGTAATTTGTGATCAAGGTTGTCTTCCTCTAGCCTTTGATGATTCAACATCCCGCTACAAGGCAGTAGCTTCTTTGCCAGTTCACTTTCAACTTGATGTTAATTGATTCTGGTGGCTACAGACGGTATGCCTGGCCGAGCGTACCATAGCAGGGGATTTAAAAGAATATATGGTCTTAGGCAGCAATAAAAGCGTACCCCTGGTCTGACTGGATATCGCATTTGTAGCCTGCTATTTTAGGTCAGTAGGTTTGAATTATTTTGCTCATAATCATATAGCAAATATTTTGTAATCTTATGAGTAAAGTCACTATTTTCAGGCACATGCAATTGTTTCAAAACAGTTATTTTTGTCACAAGTACTTAAAATGAAGTTTTTCAGGACGAATCATTGCTGTTTCCTTTTTTTTTTCTTTAATTTTTGAAATCATAAAGGTGCATCCATAAAGAAAAAAATCCTAAAAAGAAGCACGGACTTGTTTTCGGGAGCGTATGACAAAATAGAATATTGTGTATTTAGGTGGAAAAGTGACACATTCTCGGCTGACGGTGTAAGTTGATGGGCGAGGCGTAGCCGAGGCCGGCAAACACCGAAGGCCGAGAATGTGCTTTTCCTCCGAAATACACATACTATTTTTTCTGCGATCGGTTCAATACCTGTTAAATGTTTGTCTTTTAGTTTATTCTATAACAAGTGTGGAATAAGCAAAATTCTACACGAGTGGTTTGTTCCCCGAGCCGAAGGCGAGGGGAACGGCTACACGAGTGTAGAATTTTGAATTCCACACGTGTTATAGACTATACTTTTTCTACGACTAGAATCAAATGAAATAACTAACAACGGACCACAGACACAGATAGGAACGCCTATTTGATCTTTTAACGATACGTCAAGTATCAACATTGTCAGATAGCGTTTTCTATTTTCCATCCTCTTTTCACCAAAAAGGCTGCGAAGGCCAATTGTGCTTTTTGTGCTGCACTTCTTGCTCTACCAATTAATACAAAACGTCGATTTTAGTGATTTACTTGTATTTTATAGTATTTTTGAGGTTTTCCAAGTATTTCTGCAATTTGCGTAGTGCAGCTGGTGTAGAAATAGATAAACTTCCTGTACGCTCATGTGTTTTCAGCTTATGATATTAGATGGCGCCACAGGTGTTCATTCCATAACAAGTGAGGGAATGAAGCTATTCCGTAATCAAAAACTAAGTGGGAATGGATGAATTCTCCAATAGTAGAAAAAAGTGTTTCCTGTATTGTTATTCATTGATTTCTTAGCAACTATTGAAACATAATTGAAGTACTAGAATAATGAGTTTTGCGACCTGTCAACCGGTCAAAAATGCTGACATTTCTTGTCAATCGCAGAAAAATTTGTTTTTATCAATATTTAGACTTGATTCATATATTGTCACGAATTTTGGGTTCACGAAAACTCACTCCACAAACAGTATATGCTTTTCACTTATTATTGGCGTAGCATTATCCATGGAAATTTGACAGGTTGACCCTCCTATAATAATGTCATTTGATGACAAAATATTTTTCAAATTTCAGGGTTATGAAACAGAAATCCGAGCTGCCAGAATGTGTAAAATATCTGAGTAAATTCAAATAGTAAAAATATTCAATTTATTAATTAAACGTAACCATAACAGTAAGCTCAATAGCATAAATATGTTTTTTTACTACTAACCTGAGAAGTAGTCATTATTCAATCTATTTTTCACAGAAAAAATTGAATTTCTCTCCCTAGGTTAATAATGAAAATAATGAAAAAAAACCTAGGTCAATAATGAAAATGACGTCATGACGCAAGGATATTGTCATAACGTTACAGGTTTCTATTGGTTTAATTTCAATTTCAAACTGTCAATTTAATCAAAAAAACAGGTTCCTGTATGTATCATAGGAAATTGCCATAGATGTTAATAGAGGGCAGCACTTCCAACTAGGAAAAATAATTTGAGCACAGATTTCAAACTTTTTTTTGTTTTCTACTATAGCAGAAGTAAAAAAAATTCTATATATTCCACGGTAGAGAAAGTCATTATATACCTTACGCATTATAAACCTCGGCGCTACGCACCTCGGTTTATAAAAGCGCTCGGTATATAATGACCAACTTCTCTACCTAGGTATATAATGTACTATTTTGCAGTAACTTTTTTTTCGGGTTTGGTCCAACGGCATTTCTTCTATTTTCATTTTTTTATTTC